TAACCATTCGACGAACATAGTCAAAATTTTAGTTTTTCAAGTCCAAATGAAAAAATTGTTAACAATTAACATGCAGACGCAAATAATAGAATAAATGTCCGGGGTGGGTGGTGGGGGGAGGAAATTTCAACACCTTTAATTAGCCAAACTAATTGGAAGAGTTCAGCATTGACTCCCAGATGAGAAGTTTCCATTCCATCACGACTAATTGGAAGAGTTGAGCATTGACTTCCAGATGAGAAGTTTCCATTCCATCACGACTATAATTGGAAGAGTTGAGCATTGACTCCCACATGAGAAGTTTCCATCACGACTGATTTGCCCAAACGTAGGGATGCCCACTATTATGATTATAATTGCCTCACCAGCGGTTTGCAAATTTTACACAACAAAATTCAACTATTAGTAGTTATGAAAACTAGTAGAAGTGAAGCAAAGAAACTCTAATAAAAACTTAGACCATTATTATAAGATGAGAACGAAGATCCTAGCAATTAATTTCTTAGTCAAAAAAACCAACCAGCTTTGATCTCATGATATATTTCTCCACTTGATTGTAAAATATTGAAAATTCAACTCAAAATGATATATATTTATTATGAGCTTGACACAATTTATAGCAACATGACGTTTAATCTGATTTTAATTCTTGTTGGTTTGAAGGGTCTCTGAATCTAATATGGGACACTCTCTTTGAAATTGTAATCGTTCTTGATCTCCTTAATAAAATTTGATGCCGTTCACCTCAAAAATTTGAAAATTGGATGTGCTTTTAAAATGATTAAAAACATTTTTAAATGAATGTTTTTTTGGTTCCAAAAGCATTTTAAGTGTTTTTATAGAATTTACTTGCATTTTTACTAAGAATTGGTTCCAAAAACATTTTCACCATAAACGCATTTAGTCATTTTAAAAGCACATCCAAACGAGCTAATAGTGTTTACATCCACAGACATTGATGAAAATCCAAATAGGCTCGGATATCTTTCATGATGCCTTCCTCCACACAAACTAAACTGTAAGAGTGTGAAATTGACCAAATTGTACGCGCCCACACCAATTCCAAATGTGTGCCTAGTACTCAATTCTTGGTCAATTAATTCACGTTATATGAATCGCAGCTAAAATTAAGTAAAAGAAGAAACAAAGATGACATGAAACGCAAGCTCAGTTAATGAGAATTATCAATAGCCCAAAAGTTCAAACTCCGTCCAAGTTTGGCTGATGGAAATTAAATAATTGAAGAAAAATAGTACCAGAAATAATTATTGAATTGAATGAATTTCAACTTTTTAAAATATATAGTGGAGTTTATATACATATAGGTCTATAACTAGGGTTTATGCTAAAATAAGAAGATGCAAAAATATCAGCCTTTCCGCACAGTTGAGTGAATTTTTCTATCTGGACTTGGAATTAAGAAAATGAAGAAATTACAAGGAAGTAGTTTTGGTGATGGGGAAGCCGAAGAGTATGATGTGGTTGTTGTGGGGTCGGGCTACGGTGGTTCTGTGGTTGCCTGCAGGTTGTCGATGGCCGGCGGCAGAAGCGTTTGTCTGCTTGAGAAAGGCCGCAGATGGGAAGCTAAGGATTTCCCAACAGACAGCTTCAAGTTGTTATCAGCTTCGAGGGTTGAAAGCCGGAACTTAGGCCTTAGCCTTGGATCCAAAGATGCACTAATCCAGGTTTGCATGTCCTTAATTTTCAAGTGTACATGTAAACAAAAAAAGTAAAATTTATATTTAATTCTCATATTTATTAGGTGTTCTCACATAATCCCTTGATAACATGGATTTAGAGACAAATACTTTAAGCCATTTTTTTTTGCTTTTATATTTTTTTTTTGGGGGGGGGGGGGCGGGGTGGGTGGGGAGGGGACCCAACTACTTGGTAATGAGGGAAGTTGGGTTTAGATGAGGGACTATTAAGTTTCATAAAACTTAAGGTAAATTTGTTAAGAATGCATGACTAGCTGCTATACATACGATAGAACTTTAAAATAGTAGTCATTTTGATTTTTGAAAGTCCTCGTTTAGTGTTTTGAGTAGTTCAAAGTTTGATTGCAGTATTTTTTAAGAATCTCAAAATTTCTTGGGCCTCCAAACATAGCATAAAAAAATTTCACAACTAAAAATTAATTAAGCATGAGGTCTCTCTCCTCGCTTCTCTCTGAAAAAAGCTCCAAAAGAAAACCCTTCTCAGCCGTCGGCCCTAGCCTGTGGCTTTTGGGTCGGTGGCAGTCCTCATTCTCTCTTCCTATCTTTTGCTTTTCCTTCTTCTCTTCCTTTTCTTCTCTGTTTCCATGTTTTTTATGAGCTCTGTCTCATCTATCTGAGGTCTTGTCTTAGTTTTGTACCCGCTCCTCATCCAACTGCTGCTCATCACCATCCCCCTCATCCCTCCCCATCACACCATTTTCTCCTACCCCCCTCTTCTTGCCCTTCATCTTTTCCAACTCTTAAAACCAAGAATTAAATCTCGGAGTGTTAGGTTCTATTTGGACACAAGGCCCAACCTTCAAAGCTCACTGTCAATCCGGCTTACCGGAAAAATTGGGCGAAGTGTGGAACGATTCACGTCGGAACAAGGGTGTTTTACACACCCCCTTCGCCCTCCCCCTCCTCCTGTTACTTTTTGTGACTTTTCTTGCAATTGTGGCTATGGAGGCTTTGGGTCTTGGTGGATTGACTGTGCATAATACTCTCAAATCTAGTTTTTGGTTAAGGTGCATTTTTCAGTTTGGTGTGATGTCTTCCTTCGTGGAGGTAGCAGCAGTTGTGGCGGTGGTGACTGATTTTTGGCGCTTGGAGCTTAGGGTTTTACTGTTCACTGTTTCTGTTGTATCCTACGAGCCTAAATTTGTGTGGGCCTCCCTTTGTGGCTGGGGTTATAGCTCTCTTTTTTGGGCTTGTTTTCTTGGGCTTGGTTTCTATTTTATGTTTGCTTTGTTGTGTAAGACTTTGTGCTTTGTTAAGGTTTAGGCATTTCTTAACACAAATTGTATTTCTCTTTCACTAATGAAGCTTCATTCTCGACCAAAAAAAAAAGTATACCCTTATACCCTTAAATGGCTGCCGTTGTATTAAGACTACCTCCATATCATATAAAAATGGGTGTCCTGGGGTTTGAATGTAGATTCGCAAAGGCATGGTTGGGAGTGTATTGGTAGTTCTCACTTTGAACGCCATGGTTTGGAGTTGAGGTTGCGTGCAACGGTGGTCTTAGATCCCGTCAACGGTATTGATTTCAAACCTCATCGGAGTTGTTGAAGTCAAACCCAACCGGGGGCGTCTCCATTCTTTCCTTGGGAAAGGGATCCTCTCCGGATCCCTTCCTCTTAGTCCAACAAGTTTGGGAATCCGGACCATTGAAATTTGATTTAACGGCAAGGGCCCACTTTAAAAGTTATGATAATTTTAGCCGTCGGATCAAATTTCATAAAACACAGAAAGTTAATAAATCTTAGCAAGACATGTTGAAGAAACATTTTTGTGTAATAGCCGTGATGTTACTTATTATGTGTTATAGTATGAGTTTTTTAGAAAATGTGTTATGTCATATAAACTGTACGATATAATTAATAAAAAGATAGCATGTTTTATAACATGAGTGCAATAATAAGACCAAGTGGAGGTACAATTTTCACATCGACAAACTATACCACAAAGAAAAATAACTCCACATATATCTTGCATGTGTAGGTATATGAGCAAAACGATTCTGTAGCAGTAGTGGGTTGCGGACTCGGTGGAGGTTCACTAGTGAATGCAGGAGTTATGATGCCGACACCAGTTCGAGCCAGACGGCATCCAAAATGGCCAAAGCAATGGGAAAAGAATTGGGATAGTTGTGAAGCTTCTGCAGCTGCCATGCTCAAAGTACAAAGCCTTCCTGACAAGTTTTCTGTTGCGAAAGTCTTGGAAGATCATATAACTAGTGAAGAAACTTTTGAGACTCCGGTGAAGCTGACTATGAATTTTGACTTGGAAGATGGTCAACGTCCACTATCCAATAATAATCCAATTAAGAAGGTTCAACAGATGAGTAGCTGCTTAGCCTGTGGGAATTGTCTCTCTGGATGTCCTTATAATGCCAAAATTTCTAACGACAAGACTTATCTACTTTCAGCAATCCAGGCATGTCGATCTTAATTATATGTTAATTTTTATATTAATGAATCAACGGTATTAGAAACACCAACTCATTGTTCCAACTTTTGGTTTTCAATTAATGTGACAATTTCTTATTTACTGTATAAAAAATGAAATAATGTCACATCAGTTAAATTCTTAAAAGTTGAAGTATAGTAAGTTAGTGTCTCTAGCATTAGTATCACTTAAAAGAGGATTGAACTTTGGACATCCTCTAAAATAGAAAAGAGAAATACTTATCTAAAGAACTAGTTGTTATTGTTAATTGATCATGGCTTTTGATGACAATTGACAAAGCCAAGAGTGCTATGTTGTCCAATTAATGTTAGTATTTTCATTTGATTAAAATGATGTTGCATGAAAATTATATATATATATAGATATGCATGCATTGATTAATTCATGTTAAACCAGTATGTTTTTATCTAATTTGCAGACAATTAACCAAGCTTAAATAAATTTGTGAAGCAGGAGGGATGCACGATTAAAACTCAATGCCAAGTGCAGTACGTGATTAGAAATACGTATGACGATGAGGGCAAACGTGGCAGAAGAAATAGAAGATGGCGTGTTTATTTGAATGATATTGATTATTTAACATCCGATTTCGTAATCCTATCAGGTAATTAATAAACAGTAAAATTCGTACAAACTACGTAGTTAATTATTATCTTGGAGAAACTTTTGTCACGTTTTACGATTTTAATAAGTTGAATAATCATACATCTCGGATTTTTAACCCAGGAGGAGTTTTTGGCACGACTGAGATCCTCTTTCAGTCACAAATGAGAGGACTAAGAGTTTCAGAAACACTTGGTTCAGGATTCAGCTGCAACGGAAACACTGTTGCCTATCTCGCGGGAAGCCCGATGCCGTTGAATGGTTATGGACTAGATAAGAAGCAACTCTTTAAGATTCCATTTCAAGCAAGGCCAGGACCATCCATCTCATCATCGTACACTTCTTCGCTGGGGTTTACAATTCAGGTAAGAGAAGATTATCTTATGATATATATTGATAATATAGATTTTCTCGGATTAAATACACTTTTTTAAAATACGGGTATATCATTAATATTTTGTCAATATTTTTTATACTGTCAAAGTTTTGACCTTATAGTTATGTGGATATAATGAGAGTGATGATGTCAACATTGTGACCTTATACTGATATTTTTATATATCTGTGGACATTATTGTACTAGTGATATGTCATACTTTGAAATACGGAGACAAATTTAATTTATTGGTTTATCGTGTATTGTATGTGGTTTATTTACATTATTGTACAAGTGAAATGTTGTCAATAAAATAGACCGAAGAAAAGAGTACTATATATAGTTTGTAACAGCCATGCACATATAGATGTTAATTAATTATATTTGAACATAAAAGTATAAAAATTTTGTATTAAATCTAGGAGGTCCGGATTAATCATCCCAAACCCAACTCTTATACGTGCACTTTGTGATCAAACTGCAGAGTGCAATACTTCCATCAGCTTATCCGAACCTTATGTTTAAAGGAATTGTGACTTATGGATGGCCTGCCGGGTACTGGTTCTTTCATGGGATCATTGACAAGGATAAAGCTTGCAATGGGTTTTAAAGCTACCCATGCAGTGGCTCTTCTTGCGTTGGGATATGATGAGAGTGATGGCAAAATCATGTTAGAAAGGGGCACCAACAAAATCAGCTTTAATCCACCTCGTGATCCCCTTCTTGCCCGAAAAATTACAGCTTTTCAAAAGCTCACTAAGAAATTAGGAGGAGTTCTCTTCATGTCGAAGTACCGAAGCACAGCTGTTCATCTTTTAGGTGGGTGCAATGCATCATCAAGTCCGTTACATGGTGTTTGCAACCATAATGGGCAGGTTTTTGACCCAGCTCATGATGAGTTACCTGCCGCTGCAGTACACCCCGGCCTATATGTGTGTGATGCTTCTTTGATTCCATGTTCTGTTGGCATAAATCCATCTCTTACTATTGCCACTGCAGCTGAGCACATAAGTAGGCAACTTGTGAAGGATGTTCTCGAGTACAGCACCAACAATATCGACAATAAAGGTCCAGATTCCCTCACTGATAAAACAAAGACTATAGCTATAGGTAATGGTAAAAAATCAGATCTCGCGTTCAAAGAAACCATGAGAGGACATGTTGGGGGTATGCCATGCACAGCTTATCTCAAAATGAAGATGAACCCTAATGATGAGAACTATATGGACTATGACAAGTTGGGTACCAATATTCGCCGTGAGTCCCATCCCCTTCTAAGAGGGAAAGTTGGAGGGCACGTAGAACTTAGAGGCTTTGAGAAGGATAATTTGCATATCATAGATGGAGACGTAAATTTGTGTGAAGTAGATTGCAGAACTCCTTACACACAATATATGCTTTATCGTCTTTGCCTTGTGGCTTCTACTGGTTCAAGGTATGTACCTGAATATCTTTATCTCCATATATTTGTATTGGCGGATTTATATTGTCTAACTGTGAATCAAACCACATATTTTGGCATAATCAAACTGATCTATGATCCTAATATATTCCACCACGCACATATATTCCTTCATTTGTTTTCTTTGTCATGACAATTTAAGGACTCCCACAATTTAATGAATGCAGGTATATTCTGCAGGGGAGAAAGATTATGAATCCTTATCTCTTTGCATTATATGCTTGGAGGGAAACGACCACAATGCATGTAACATTTGAAAAAGTTCCCGAGAAAAACTCAGTGGATCATGATCATGAGAATGTGATCTTAAAAGGGGAGCTTAGTATTTCCATGACGGAGCTTCTTAAGAGCTTGGTGAGCTTCGAAGGAAACAAGAAAATAAAGTTCTTATGCCTCCTATCAGGGACTTTCTTGAGAACCTATTTCTTGAAGATACCTCGAGGGAACCAAGAGTACTTTAATTTGTTAGACTGTGAACATAAATATTCTTATCCAAGCAGCACCCTGCACGATATAGAAACAGGTATGTAGCAAAGATTCGATTCATTTTTTAACATTTAAGTGACCAGAAAAATATCATAACATTTAGAAGCCTGAAAAATCAAATCTATGCATATGTAGAAGATGGAGTCGTGATCAGTTGCAGGCAATGGAATTGCCATGATTTGTCAAAATTTAGAGGATCAGATGGACAACGAAACCCGATTCTCCTTGTTAATGGTTATGCTGTTGAGAGTTACTGGCTTCCGACGGAGCCAAATGACTTGATCAGAAGTTTACTTGAAAAAGGGCATGAAACATGGTTATTACAATCCAGGCTGCACGCTCGTACTCCTCCAAACACTTTTACCCTAGAAGATGTTGGAAGATTTGATATCCCTGCAGGTAATATATAAGACTTGACAATTTCTCGTAATTAATACTTGCATGCAATTACTTAGCCAATAACATGTGATTTCTTGCTAATTCACTTTTTTCTTAATAACTTTCAGCAATTAATAAGATGCTTGAATTGCTTGGACCGAGCGTAAAGGTGCATGTAGTTGCACACTGTGTTGGAGGCTTAGCTATTCACATAGCTCTCATGGGAGGTCATGTCTGTGGAAACCATATAGCTTCTCTGTCTTGCACCAACTCTTCAATGTTCTTCAAGCTTAATGCTTTGTCCAAAGTCAAAATGTGGCTTCCTATACTGCCAGTGAGCTCTCTCTCTCTCTCTCTCTCTCACTCTCCCTCTCAAATTTGTTAAGTAATTTATATAGAAAAAAAAATTAGCTCCTTTTATGAAAACGCATATTCCTCTTCATAAATGAATCACAGTTTTAACAAATGTACATAAGAAAAATTAGTTATTACTTTTAACGAGTCAAAATATATGACTGGAAGCGTAAGGCGCCAAGTAGTATTCTAATTTATATTATATACATATGTAGATATCCATGTTGATACTTGGAAATAACAAGACACTTCCGCTTGTGGAAACATCAACGCCAGTGAGCTTACGTCATAGAATCTTAAAACTTGTAGCGCGCTTGATACCGCGTTACGAGAGATGCACCTGTAATGAATGTGAAGTTGTTTCCGGCATATTTGGAAACGCATTTTGGCACGAAAATATAAGCCCAACTGTGCACCAGTGGTTGAACAAGGAAAGCTCAAAAAGGCTTCCTATGGCAGCATTTCCCCACCTCAGAAAGATATGCAAATCTGGTTTTATATTAGACAGCAATGGTAATAACTCCTACTTGATCCACCCAGAAAGAATGGCACTCCCAACACTTTATATATCGGGCGGGCGGTCTCTTCTTGTGACTCCTCAAACATCTTTTCTTGCTCATAAATACATGAAGTTGCACCAACCAGGGTTTAGACATGAAAGGGTAGTTGTGGAGGGTTTTGGGCATTCAGATTTGCTGATTGGAGAAGAGTCTTGCAAGAAGGTCTTTCCTCACATTTTATCTCATATAAGAGTAGCTGAGGAAAAGATACTACTGCAGGAAAGAGGCCTCGGATTCAGAAGCAGATCATTATCAATATGAGGAAGGATTTGGAGAATTTGGAACTTGGTTTTCTCCTTTTATTATTCTTCTGCTAGCCTTTATATCCCTTTCTTTGTTGGTCCGATTATTTTTACTATCAAGTTAACTTTGGCTAGTGTATAGTTGTTTGTTTCCATCAAATTATAAGTTAATTGAACCAAGTTATACTTTTTTCCTAAATAACCTTTATGTGAGAGGTCGCACTTGGTGCGATGGCAAGTGCCTTCGCCCATGAGCGGTAGGTCTCGGGTTCGAGACTTGGGAGCAGCCTCTCCATAAATGGGGGTAAGGCTAGCCGACATTCACCTCTTCCAGACCCTGCGTAAAGCGGGAGCCTTGTGCACTGAGTACGACTTACGACCGAACCTTTATGTGATGGCTTTTTTTTTTTTTTAAAGAAATTCAAAACCAAGTTACTTTTGCTCACGGTTTTTGTGAAAGATGCCATTATTTAGTTTTCACAAGAACTTTTTCATACGTTAATAATTTTAATATCGCATCTAAATGATTTATAATATTGGCAAATTCATCAAAAGATCTTGCAAAAACATATCAAATCTAATTTTCCACATAAACTATGAGCTATTTAACTCATGATTTTTAATTGCTATTGAGAAGTTCTACCATAACAGAATTTTTTTTTTTAATGAAACAAAATAAATTACAACTTGAATCCCCTTGGGATTCCTGCTGAACCATAGTCAAACAACACTTTCGAAGTCACTACATGAAGAAGACTGGAAAACCAAATACAAGGATTTTGTATATTTTGCCCCCAATGAGGCAGAGAGTGTCAGCTACTGAATTAGCCTCCCTTATGTTGAAAATAAAAACTATCCAATTATCATAGTAGAGTTTGAACATCTTCCACCTGCGACAAAATTCTCCACGGAACTGAAGAAGATTAATGGTTGGCTAATAAATCAATTAAAATTTTCTAATCACATTCATAAGGTTTTTATAACAAAAATAATACTTTTATCACATTTGTACCACCTTTTTAATAAAGATAAGACTTACATGTTAGAGGGTTCTACCTCTATTAGAAAGGTGGTACAAATATGGTATGAAAAATGTGATAAGTGTAAATTACTCTTTTTATAATGAGTAAATTGTAGCAATGGTTGCTCCAATTTGATTAAAGTTAAGGAACTATTGCTATAATTTACTCTTTTATAATTATGTTGTATAACCTATTGTAAACCTTGCTTTAGACCATGGATCTCAGCTTGTTGTACTGAGGCAAAACCAATAGGAAAAGCTCCCGCTAACAAAACATTCCTCATATGATTACGTAAAACACAACCAGCGGCTGCTTGACCGTTATTAACTACAGAACCATAATTTAATTTAACATGACCGGAAAAAGATGGATTCCATTATTATTATTAGCATTTCAAAAAAAAATTAAATATAATTTGACATTTATAACAAGAAAAGAGACATCAATATTTTTATTTTGAAAAATAAATTTATTCCTAGCATCTCCCAAATATTCCAGCAAACTGTGAAAAAAATTCTGTTGATGCACAAAACCGGAGGGGTCTTGGAACAACGTAAATCCGATCGTGAATCTGCAAGAAATGTAAATAACACAAGATGTATCGTGGTTCACCCCAATGTTTGGGCTACGTCCACACTGATATTGTATTTCTCTGTTTATGAGAGGATGAGAAGGTGAGAGCCTCTGAGAGTGAGAGTGAGGCTTCCCATGGCCTGAGAATTGGCCTCCTTCAATGAGGAGAGTGAGGAGTCCTTTTATAGAATAAGGGCTCCTCACTTATTACATATTTGCCCCTTCATCTATTACATAATTACATTTGAGTCCCCCGAGTATTTATACGAGATCTAAATACGGAGGCTCTAATTATGGTACAAACAATAGTCCCCCAAGTTTTCAGTCAAGAGAGTCTTTTGTCTGGAGACTTGAAATTCAGTCCATGTGTGGGCTAAAGTGACACACCCTAACCCGAAGACTAGGACGTGCTCACGTGACGGCCAGCATGCCCTCCTTCGGGACGGGATGTGTCATAAAGTAACTAGATGTCGTCTAGAACTGATACTCGATATGAGGCGGTGCCCAATCTGAAATGATGCTCAACTAGAAGTAGCACATGTTGCCAGGCTGCTCTGCTTGTGGCTTATGTTGCCTTGGTTGGCTCGACTTGTGACGTTGAAGGTGAGGGAGTCCCTTTTATAGAATAAGGGCTCATTCCTTAATACATAAATAATGGGCTAGAGTCGATGCTCACCCCGAGGCGGTTGCTCATCAGGCGGCGATGCTCTCTAATGAAGGTGAGGGAGTCCCTTTTATAAAATAAGGGCTCGCTCCTCAGTACATGAATAATGGGTGCTCTCTAATGAAAGTGAGGGAGTCCCTTTTATAGAATAAGGGCTCGTTCCTCAATACATAAATAATGGGCTAAGTCCCCCAAGTATTTTTTCATGAGGCCTAGTTGAGGCCCAATATATGGTACATAATGTAGTCCTTCAAGTCTTCAGTCAATAGGGTCTGTTGGCTAGAAACTTCAAATTGAATTCATGTATAGGCCGAAGTGGCGGTTGTTCGGAGACGGTATTTGTATACCCTGCACTGAAGCTTTGTAGGTGAAGCTTTGCAAGTGAAGCTTTGAAGCTAGAGCTCTGTAAATGAAGTTTTCAAAGCTGGAGCTCTATAAATGAAGCTTTCGAAACTAGAACTCTGTAAATGAAGCTTTTAAAGCTAGAGCTTTTGTAAATGAAGCTTTTGAAGCTAGATTGACATGAGTGATGCTCATGAATGTTTATGTTGATTGACATGAGTGATGCTCATGGATGTTGACATGAGTGATGCTTATGAATGTTAACATGAGTGATGGTCATGAATGTTGACATGAATGATGGTCATGAATGTTTATGTATGATTGACATGAGTAATGCTTATGAATGTTTATGTATGATTGACATGAGTGATGCTCATGTATAATTTTGGAGTACTGGACATACTTTTGATCACCTGGTTGGTGATAATAGCGGCAAACTGCCGAATAATTTTAGGAGTACTGGGCGTACTTTTGATCACCTGGTTGGTGATAATAGCGGCAGAGTGCCGAATAATTTTGGAGTACTGTGCGTACTTTTGATCACCTGGTTAGTGATAATAGCGGCAGGGTGCCGAATAAATTTGGAAGTACTGGACGTACTTTTGATCACCTGGTTGGTGATAATAGCGGCAGGGTGCCAAATAAATTTGGAGCCATATGGCCTAGCTCTTTTGGGCATATGGGCATTCGCCCTCCACATAATATTGTAGCCCATTATTTTGCGCTTGCCTTTTTTTTTATTATTATTACCCTCTGATGGGGTTATACAGATGTCTCCGAAAGATAAGAAAAATAAATTACATCATTCAAAAATAAATCCGACCCCCTGCTCAATGGGTCACGCCCATAATTCCCTTTTCTGCATGTCATCACCACCGCAATTATGTCTACTTCTTTTTATCTTTTTTTGCTTTATGCTTTTCTGCTTTTGTTTCCCACTCTTCCTCTTTTTCTTTTTCTGAAACATTCTTTCAACAACATCATGATTTTTTTTTCTTTTTCTATTCTGTTCCTTTATCCAGCAAGCCCACTTGACAGCGGATTGCACGTTACTCTCCAGCTCTTTCCTTTTTCTTTTATTCCACTTTTGCTTTTTCAAAGCTGGTTGATGATTTTCTTGCTTGTGTGCATTGAAGGCAATGATTAAAGGAGACGGGGAACCTTGGTGGGCATCTTCTTATCTTATTCATGAGTGTTTCTCATGCTTCTCGTGGGTTTTGTGCAGAAATCATGTTCTGCTCGGCATCTGACCGCTTTCAAATCTGGGGATGACGCCGGGTCCGGACCGAAACTTCTGTCCCCGCATACTAAAACTGAGCAGTGTCAATCTGACCAAAAAGGTTAAGATCAGAGACTAAGTCGTTCAACTTAGCAGTCTTGGGATGATGCAACCGTTCATATTATGGTACAAGACTGACTGGACGGGGCCAGGGGTTGATGGGCAACAGATGCGGCTAGACGGGGCCCACCTACAAGTGGGGTCGAAGATCGACTGTGGACGATGAAGAGTTGGTTGGGACCCCGACACACTCACACGAGGGGTACATGGTAAGTGTTGTGGGTGGGGTCATCTGCATGTAGAACTGCGGGGAAAGTTTCAGTGCTCTCAGTTCCTGAACCTCTTTTTGCAACCGTCTGTTCCGCTCCGTCAGATTCTCACAGCACCTCTTCAAGAACTCAGTCCACCTTTGTTTGCTTCAGCTTTGTTCTTGCTCTTTTGTTCTGAAACCAGAATTCCACTTGTTTAGGCCGAAGCCCAAGCTGTTTCGCCAACGCCAATTTTTGCTTAGGTTTGAGAGTGTTGTGCTCCTTGAAGTTCTCTTCGAGAATGGCGGACTGGTCCTTAGAGAGTCTGAGCTTCTTTTTGAAAGTCTCGTCGTCCTCTTCGTCGCTGATGCCTCAATAGCAGTCTCTCTCAAGGTCGAGATCTTCGCCATTGGTGTCTCTTTAGCTCCGCTTGCCACTTACGGTCGACACGGTGCTGTTGAATGAGGACACCCCCGCTTCTTCTTCGCAATCGCCCATCGATGGCAGCTGGTTCACGTCGATGCCTCGCAGGAACGATAGGTGCCCTCCCCGGCAGATCTTCGAGTTAGAATTTAGATCTGAAGAAGGCAAGGGATCATTCCAAATGGGCTTTTGGGGAAGAAAGCCAGAAGGAGAAGCAGCAGCAGAAGTTGGGAGGAGAGCAGGCATCAGATTCAGCTGAAAACGGCTGCTACTTTGATTGTTATGGGTGTGAGGAAAATTTAAGCTGAGACCGAGACCCAAACATGTATGCTTCCAAGTGGCTGTGACTGTGGTGCTGCAGTGGTGTAATAGTATGATGGTGACAGGTGTAGTAGTCAGATTCACGGTGCTGCAGTGGTGTAGTAGTATGATGGTGACTTTGGTGCTGCAGTGTTGTAATAGTATGATAGGTTTTGCAGTGACTGTGCAGGTGTTTGGTTCTTGGGTTTCTGCAGATTCACGGTGGAGGTGAAAAAATGTAAGAGAACCAACATAGTTTTTTTTATCGATTTCCCACAGACGGCGCCAAATGTTGATGCACAAAACCGGAGGGGTCTTGGAACAACGTAAATCCGACCGTGAATCTACAAGAAATGTAAATA